ATCCAACAGAAGATATATACTGACGTACAAAAAAAACCTCAAAAGGTCTATTATAAATCATCATCATCATAAGGTCGTCAGCAGAGGCGGATTAAATGTCGAGAGCGCTCTAGGCTAGCACCTCATAAACGCCCCTCTGGCGGTCATATATTTTGCAAAATACTTTTTTTTATTAGGTACTTCCTTATTTTTCTTTTTTTAGGTTTAAAAACTTCCGCGCGCGCCCCTTTTTATCCTTGCGCCCCTAGGCATACGCCTACTATGCCTTATGGATAATCCGCCACTGGTTTGATCAAATTATTTGGCATAAAGCTTCATTGACATACGTACCGGTAAAGGGATGTGACATTTCTATGGATGTGGCCCTGATGTAGTTATCCACATCAGGGTCACAACAGCTTCAATACAGCATTCTGCCAAAGGATTGAGATAGGGATACGAAGGCAGGATTCAGCGCGGATGCTTAACAATTTTTCAATCAGGAAATCATTGTACTGCATACCATAAATTTGTACAAAGCGATCAAAAGTGAAAACAGGAATCCATATAAAAATCTTGTTGCCCATTACGTTAAATACAGTAATTAAACATACGTAATGTACAGAGTACCCCCCCCACCCTTCATTATAAAGGATAACCGAATAAGGTTTAATACTACAGTCGATTGCATGATTACGTTTCATCGAACATGAGAGTGCTACCTGAGGGACCTGATCAAATCAGTTACGTTTACAGGTAGAAAAGAAGCAGCAAAGATTTCATCGCGGCCCACTAAGACCCAGGTAACTAATACGTCCAATAATGGAAACAAGATAACGAGCAGAAAAACAAAGCGGCGCCGACTAACTACCATACAGAAGAAGCAATTTACTAAAAGGCTTTTGCCTTCGTTTGCCGATGATATTACGCAACTTGGAACGTTGTAATTAGAAAAGCGCTCATTTCACCAACTAATCGCTTTTTCGTTTTTTTTTGCAACATTTAACAAACCATGTTAAAATAGAGTGTGTGGGGTTCCTAGAGGTTACTCCAACAAGGAGTTACACTTAGGGTACATGAAGAAAACTAAATTTTTGTGACAAAGCAAGAATTACAATTTTCGATTTTAAATGACTGAATTTGCTGTAAAAATAGTAGAATTTATTAGATAACTTGTAATAATCTCAATTTTGACATATTGTTTTAAAAATTATTTCAAGTTTCTTACTTATTACAATTTAATTTGTAATATCAACTAAAATACCTAGTAAATTTGTATTTGCTGGGATTTTATTTTTACAAATTCGGGTTGAAATTCTAATTTTTATTATTTTCACTTACCAAGCAACGGGCTGGTGGAATAAATTGCAAATATCGCCTTAATATTTAGGTAAATTTTCGTTTTTCATTTTCTCCGTATTATCAATTTTGGTTTAGAGCATTGCGACAAACTGCAGAGCTGTAGATGTATAAAGTTGACAATTAACTATTTACAAAAAATTAAAGAAAAATTGGTAAAGGCTTTCGGGGCCAGTAGGTGAACTGATGGTGTCCTGATTCCTGAGTCCACATCCATCATCAGAGATGGAAGAACCTCCAAGGGGGATAGCACGATGACACCCCTTAATGTCATTACTGTAATAAAGATATACAACTATTATTATCTAACATGGGGCGATTGTACCCTGTAAAGAAATTTCATTGTAAAGCATCTTTAATATATGACGAAAGGAAAATAAGAATTTTCAAACAGATTCTTGGTCACCATCATGAAGTGAGTATGTGCAATACAAACAAAGAAGCTGTTTGTAACAGCGCTAAACTAGAAGCCACTGAAAATATTTGAGAAAAACTTTTGAGAAAAAAGAAGTGGAATTAAATAAGTTTGGAAAATGTTAGAAGCGTTCGAAGTGTGGTGTTAAAGACGAATGATGAGGATACCATGGATATAGAGGGTTAGAAATGAAGAGGTATTAGAAAGAGTAAGAGAACAAAGGACTCTATGTAAGTCAATAAGAAATAGGCGAGATAGGTTAATAGAACACCTTCTCAGACATGAAGATCTAGTCAGAGACATATTAGAGGCAGAAACGGGAGTTATGAGGGGTAGAGGTAGACCTAGATTAGATTACTATTCGTAAATAGTTAAGGATATGGGTTGTTCTAGTTTTAGGGAAATGCGAAGTTTAGCTCAATATAGGAAAGAGTGGAGGTGCGTGTCCAACCAGTCTTAGGACTGATGACCTTATGATGATGATGATGGTGGCAACAGCCAATGTTAGTAACATACGGAAATATATAAATTNAACATACTTTTTCATACAGTACCTGCCAAAAGTTTTGTTCAATCATGAATAGTAGTGCGAGTCGAAAACAAGCGTTAAAGCTTTTAATATGTCTTCAAATATAAATAAACATCCCGTTGATATTTTCAGTAGTAAATTGTACCAATAACAGCACATTTGAGCAATGCAATTGTAGTGGATAAAATGGTCAATTTTTCTGTGCAGTACTGTACGGATTATACGCTCCTCATCGGTTAAGAGTTTGGCCGAGAGTTGTCTCCTTCCTTTTCTGGCCTAGTGCTGTTTTTTTCTACTTTGCGCCGGTGAAACTGAAGGTCACATCGCTACAGAAAGTAAACGAAGTATAGTACTTGTTATTATTGATAAAAAGAATTATTCCGATACCGTACCCATGTAAATGGTGAATTATTGTGTAATTCACTTTCCAGCTTTCTACAATTCTTTAAGAAATCTATTAATATGAGGGAAGTTGGCTGTATTAGTACAATGCTTAAAGAAAGCTATTTAATTCCTTGAGCGTAGAACATCGAAACCAACAGTCTGAATACAAACTATTAAAAAGTTTGGGTCTGATGGTGCAGAATTTTTGAAAGTGTTATAATAATGAAACTGAAATTGCAGAATTAAAGAGTAACAGTTTTAAAATTTAAAATTCAAACAAAACCTCGTTCAACGTAGTAATGATTCTTGATACTGATTAGCATACTTTCCAAAAGTTAGACTCAAACATTTTAACATATATGAAAATACATATGTCTGTTCTCTTTTTATTTGTATGAGGAGTAAATATATTACCGAAAACGTACGCCAATACCATCCCTCCCTTTATGTATAAAATTACTGAAAAGTAGTGGCAGAAAAAAATCACGGGAAATATTGTATTTTGTTATATCTGGTTAAGTTTTACTTTTCTTTTATTTACGAACGGGAGTATGACCCATGAATTTTTTCTGCCACTATTTTTCCCAGAAGTTGGAGTATTTTGAGTATATTACACCGTCAAAACCGAGCGATTACGTCGACATTTCCCCCCTCCCCCATATCACGAAATCGGCCTAGATTTCGCTTATAGGTGTACTATATAAGAAAAAGTGCTCTAAATTANAAAATAAATTTACTCTGTTCAGTCAACGAATCTCCATAAAATGACGTGTAAAATTACAATTTTTTAAAATCTCAATAACTTTTTAACGGTTTAGTAAATCGATTTGTAATTTTTACAGGAGTTTTGGAATTGAATGAGGAACGTTATTCCAAATTTTTATTTGTCTCGTAGCATTTTAACATACCTCCCAAACATCCTTAAGGGTGCTCTGGTAAATAATTCTTTACCATAGTGAAAATATATTTTCCTTGTGTTTAGCTATTTCTATTATTTATAATGAGATAAAGTAATTGACAAATCAAATCATTCGAAATAAATTATCATTTTTTAATTTTCAGTATGAATTTAAGAGGTTTATTGTTATTAAAATCTATTTACACGGTTTCTTTCAGTATACTTCAATACGTTTTCACTTTTTCCTTTTTTTTTTCTTCGAACAATTTTCTATATAATGCCAACATATTTATTCGTTATTCTATATTTTTATTGTAACTAATTTCTCTATACATTTGTTGTCAATTGGCGCAGTAACCTACATACAAAAAAGAACATTGTTGTTCTTTTAGATTCGTTTACGAAGATAACATTCATGATGGTTATTGGTTAAAACTTGGAATCAGTAAAAATGATCCTTTACGCGGAAAGCGTATTCAGTTGTTAGAAAAACTATCAATCAACACATTTGATTTTTTGATTCGGAAAGGTCCCGAACCGATTGACGGCGATTTGTTAGCTTTTTTGAGAGTTTTTAGTATGGATAATGGTAAGCACTGTTTTTGTAAAAAAAAATGGAGAATGAATACCACATACAACGTAAAACAAATATTTCAATTCAACTTCTTTTGTTTAAAACAAAAAATGAAGGTTGTTTTGTGTGTGGCGTGTTTCACGTCGATCTTATATTTTTTAGATTTTGCTGGGTCTTGAATTTTTTTAAACTTTTTTTTTTGTTGGTACTCAATGAGCGTGACTCTTGAATAAATTTTCAGACCTAAAGCCGCTCATGATGAGATCAATTTTTTAAAAATTTATCTTTTTTTACTTCAAGTCAAGACGAACATTAAGATTCTGATTTTTTCAAGAAGTTACTACTACTATATTATGGTAAAAAAGCTACATTTTTAAAAAGGTAATTGTAACAAGCGGTCTAATATGATTAAAATCTGAATGGTGATGACTTTCTTTCTTAATAATAATATAAAAAATAATTACGGTATATCTATCAATTACGCTACTTTTTACTTTCGAACATCACTGCCAAATAGCTTTATTAGTGTAAAAAACAAGCTTGCTATAATAATTGCGGTCAGTATCAACCTATATATCTAATTCATACATATAACGTTTAACATCTGCTGTTACATTTGGTAGAATTTGTTTTCACAAAATCCTACTTCCTTCATTGATTCTTAAAAGAAAAGCTAAAACAATTGCTCGTTATGAAATAACCATTTGGTTCTAACACGTTAAATTGGTCAGTATCATGAACAAAAATGTTTAATATAAAGCATTTCTTATTTCTGCGATAATAGTAATTGATATGAATGCATAAGATTATTTTAAACAATTATTCCAAATTGCAGTAATAAACTAATTTAAACAATGGCTGCCAAGCAGTTTGTAACGATATAAAATCGATTTATTCATATAATCACAAAACCTGCTTTTTATGTACAACTTTGACAATACATACTGCTGAATGCGGTACTTCCCCTCTTATAATTCTTCAGAGTATGCTAATTCTGATATTCAAATCTCCCCTAATTTGTTAAAGATGTTTTTAAAGATAAAATTTTTTTGTTTATTATTAAAGCATGTTTGACGTTTCGGCTAGGTTTTTGGGCTTTCTCATGAATAGGTTTAGGCGTTAATATTGTACATAAGAAAAACCGTTGCTAATGTCGGAGAAAAGCACATACTATAATTAATTGACATTAATAAAACACTTATGATAAAAAGAAAATAATAAATAAGAATAAANTTGTTTTAAAAATTATTTCAAGTTTCTTACTTATTACAATTTAATTTGTAATATCAACTAAAATACCTAGTAAATTTGTATTTGCTGGGATTTTATTTTTACAAATTCGGGTTGAAATTCTAATTTTTATTATTTTCACTTACCAAGCAACGGGCTGGTGGAATAAATTGCAAATATCGCCTTAATATTTAGGTAAATTTTCGTTTTTCATTTTCTCCGTATTATCAATTTTGGTTTAGAGCATTGCGACAAACTGCAGAGCTGTAGATGTATAAAGTTGACAATTAACTATTTACAAAAAATTAAAGAAAAATTGGTAAAGGCTTTCGGGGCCAGTAGGTGAACTGATGGTGTCCTGATTCCTGAGTCCACATCCATCATCAGAGATGGAAGAACCTCCAAGGGGGATAGCACGATGACACCCCTTAATGTCATTACTGTAATAAAGATATACAACTATTATTATCTAACATGGGGCGATTGTACCCTGTAAAGAAATTTCATTGTAAAGCATCTTTAATATATGACGAAAGGAAAATAAGAATTTTCAAACAGATTCTTGGTCACCATCATGAAGTGAGTATGTGCAATACAAACAAAGAAGCTGTTTGTAACAGCGCTAAACTAGAAGCCACTGAAAATATTTGAGAAAAACTTTTGAGAAAAAAGAAGTGGAATTAAATAAGTTTGGAAAATGTTAGAAGCGTTCGAAGTGTGGTGTTAAAGACGAATGATGAGGATACCATGGATATAGAGGGTTAGAAATGAAGAGGTATTAGAAAGAGTAAGAGAACAAAGGACTCTATGTAAGTCAATAAGAAATAGGCGAGATAGGTTAATAGAACACCTTCTCAGACATGAAGATCTAGTCAGAGACATATTAGAGGCAGAAACGGGAGTTATGAGGGGTAGAGGTAGACCTAGATTAGATTACTATTCGTAAATAGTTAAGGATATGGGTTGTTCTAGTTTTAGGGAAATGCGAAGTTTAGCTCAATATAGGAAAGAGTGGAGGTGCGTGTCCAACCAGTCTTAGGACTGATGACCTTATGATGATGATGATGGTGGCAACAGCCAATGTTAGTAACATACGGAAATATATAAATTATGCTTGTCAGTTGCAGTTACCACTTCTACCAAAACATTTTAGCGAATTTGAGTTATTGTTATGTATATTGTATTGTATACAATACACAAAAATTTGTTAGGATGTAAATATGCAGTAGTATTAGGGGAAATTATCAGCACATGCCATAAAAATTTTTAGAGTAATTACCGTGGGGCGCAATTACGACATACCGTAATATGAAACCTTATCTTTAACTTCCTGTTCTTGGAAAAACAGATACTGTTGCAAGTGTATTCTTTAAATAACTATAGCCCAGTTCGACTAAATTAAAACATAAATTACTAGGGTCGCCACAGTTACTAAGCATGGTGCTTCACTGCAGCATATGTTGAAGCGAAGCTTTTTCAATTCTAACAAAATTAAAAACATTTTGTATTGTAAACCCATTGTTCATCAGCCATAGAGATCAAATTATAATAACAAGCGCGAGACAAATACGTATGTCATAACTAAAGTGACCACATTTTCATTGAGACAAAGTGGGACAAACGGGATGAAATGAGAATTACAATTTAGTTATATACATTTTATTGTATACATTCATATACTTGTACAAAAATGTACTTATCTGAATTAAGCCAAGACGTAACTACAGTGATCGAACACCACCGAGTAAATCTAACTCAGTACATTGCCTAATTTAGTTTACTCTGCATCCATTTTATGTGTTTTTTATTTATGTATTTTTTATTTCTTTATATTCACCATAATACTTAACAAATAATAGGTAATATATTTTTACAGTATATTTAAAAAAAGAAATGCAGATATTTTCTAAAACGCGGGACATTTTTAAAAATCGGTGGGACGCAGTACAGTCACCATTAAGCGGGACTGTCCCACCAAAATCAGGACATGTGGTCACTTTAGTCATAACTCTTATATCTCATTATAATGGGGTTTTTAACTGAACATTACATCAATTTCAGAGAGCCGATTTTCTATTTTTTGACTGGAAATGAGAAGGCTTAACTAATTGGAACAGAACATTCAGTAAATGAGCAAAGCACGCGGATTTTGTATAACATGGGATTTCCCATAGACAAACTTTAATCACTAATAAATTTTCTATTTGGTCAAAAATCTGAATTCCGGCTTCTTTTTATCGCGTAGACACTTTTAGAAAAAATAAATGTAGAAATCGGTCAAGAAACAACCAAGTTCAGGCGTCTCGAACATTTCGCCATTGGAGTCATGTTATGGGATCTTCGCTCTTATGTGGTTAAAACTTTTAGAAAGTTTCAGTGGTGTTTTTTAACGTTTTATTTTATTTTTACAACTCTACATAGGTAGAAATTATCCTATAATACATACCTACAAATACAAACATTACGATTACAGCTGTGTCTAGTTCTTGGTTGTATGTGGTATTCATCTCCTCTATATAGGGTGCTTTATTATATAAACTGGAATATAGAATAACTATCTGTTTACAACTTCTAAGTAAAATTACTCTGCTATATTTAATAATCAATATTAATTACATCAGTATCATTATACAGTACCAAAGTAATTTTTATAAAAAAAGAGCTTTAAGTAGTTTCGTTGTTTCTGTCCGTTTGATACATTATTGATAAAATGGTAATACAATTTTATTATTGATAATAAAGACAATACGAACAAAATACTTAAATAATTAGTTATTACAGGTGGGCATAACGACAGTGGAGGCGATGTATTCGAAACAAAAATAAAAAAATACCACAAATGGCGCGGTAAACGCCATCTGTAGTACGATGCTACATTTTAGGATTATGTATTAAATTAAAAAGTTTGACAGTAAAGCAAACATTTTTCTTAACTCAATTTTTCTCTATTTGGAGCATAACTGGCTGTATTTAGGAAGCTCTAGTTAGGGAAGTTTGACTGTATCTGCAAAATCAATATTTTGCTAAAGCATATGTGGTTGAATCAAATTATTTTTATGTCTAGACTGCAGTTATTCTATGTCTCATTTTACTTAAACCACCCTGCATTGTGTATACTTACATAAATTTATAATAAAAATACTTTTTTTTAATAGATACTTTAGAGAATTATCTGAAGGTTGATGGTAAAGTTGACAGTCTTAAACTCCGAGAATGCAAATTCGATAGCAATTTGCAGACTAAATGTTGGGAGTTCTTGCAAACGCGTTTAAAGTTGCTTTTATCTGCTTACAAATACTCTTCAGATGAAAATACTCAATTAGTTAATGGTACTCAAATGTCAGAAAATATGCAGCTAAGCATCAGGATGAGAGAAATCGAGAAACATCTCCTCCGTAATGTGCTGACTTATGTGGAACAACAACTGTAACGATAGCTCTCTCTTTCCCTCTCTTGCACTCGCTCTCTATTTTTATTAATCGTTCATTGATATTAAACCACTTTGTGTGCCAAATTTTATTTATTTCATTTAATATTAACGGCATTGAATTTCCATTTAAGTTATTTAATTTATAATAACTGTTTACTACAATCCCAATTTGTGATTTGTTTAACTAATAAAAATAAAAATTGATAAGCCAGAAAAATTATTTTTTTCTCTATATCTTATATTAATGTTATTGCATATTCTTAAAATATCAAAAAATCGTCGCACTATTTTATTGTACATTAGATGTACTCGCGGCTTAGTCTGCTTGGAATTCGGTTTGTGATTAGATGATGATCACATTTTATCAGTTTGTGAATTAACATTAAAATACCTGTCATAGCAGACTTTTTTTTTTACAACCCCTTCTAAGTAGAATAAAGATCGGGCTATAGGGTCGTGGTCTAAGTGAACTATTCTGTCCAGACGTTTCGTCGGCTACTGCAGCTGACATCTTCAATGGTAGTACTGCGTTGACAACGTGAACGAGATTGTCGAGACTTCGAGATATAATCTACGTTCGCGTTGTCAACGCAGCACTACCACTGAGGATGTCAACCGCATTACCCGACGAAACGTCTGGACAGAATAGTTCAGTTAGAGCATGGCCCTAATGTAGCCCAAATCTTTATTCTACTATGGATTCCGACCATGAAAGCCTTTATTCTTATAACCCCTTCTAAGCTCTACAACTTTTTCTTAGGGACCTTTCATAAACCACATAGCCCCAATTTTGATACTTTTAGACTCTCTCCTCCCCCACATGGTTTTCCACTGCTCTTCGCCCAACCCCCCTGTTCCCTAAACCTATGTAGGTTATATTTACAGGCTTTATAAAAAAAGATCACGACATGTGCCAAATCTCATTTGTCAAATACACAGCAGTAGCTAAACAAAGTAATGTTGAAAATCTCATACGCTTAACTGGAAAGGTGCAGTATTTAAAAACACAAATTTGAAAGTAGTATATTTACATGAAGTTACGTAAGTTTGACTTAAACCCCCCCTTCCCCAAAGTGGTTCAACGTAGCCTTTTGTCAAGTCCCTCCCCCCTCTGACGGGCTATATGCTTTATGGAAGACCCCTTTTCTTTAAGACGTTCGTAGGAAATGCGTTCGTTCGATGGTTTTCTCGTCAACTTACATTCCGCAGTTTCTCGAGAAGGGGAAAATCTTCAAATGACACCTCCTGAGGGGAGGTAGTGTCGGATTTTTACCGACTCAAACCCCTCCTCGAGTGTGGAGATAAACCTTAAGGTTGCTCATCCCCGGGAAGGAAATGGAAAGGTTGAGATTGGGAAGAGGTTGAATTGGAGAAATGGTTGAGTGTGGGGGAAGAAGGGAGTATTAAGGAAGGGAAACCGTCGAAGTAGGTGGTCCATCTCTGACGTGATGGCTGGACACTCGCACAAAAATACTTTGTCCAACCTGAAGCTCCATCCTAAATATTTGTAAATGAATTTTTGAGCCAAACAACTGGTTATAAAGATTTATTTCATACTATCGGGTTGTTCGGAAAGTCATTTCGTTTTTTCCCAACAGAGGATTTAATTATATTCTTTTGCACCCAACTTCACATTTAAGCCGTATAATTTTTATATGCTTTGAGAGCTCATATAGCAAGGCTTNAAAGGTGTTGGACCAGAACGGTCAATATATAATTTAATAAAGTATTTGTTTATTATACGAAAACTGTCTTTCATTTACACAAAAAAAAAACGAAATGACTTTCCGAACAACCCTATAGTTTCGTAAAGGAAGCGTTTAAATCATCATGAAAGGTAGCAGGTTGATTTTTGTCCAAAGGTTCTTTTTGATAGTGTTTTTAACATAGCGATCTGCTGTACAACATTTTTTAAATGCAAATATTTCAAAAAATATTACAAATTCTTCGAAAGTGATTCAAGCCGTTTTTGTAATTTATTTTATTATCTCTATCTATTTATATATTTTCTAAAGTAGTTTTTTTAAGTAATTTTTACTTTTTTAAAATCTCTACCAGGTCAACTTTCATTTTTTAACACTTGCTACTTGATTTGTGTGTCAAAACAAACTTTTAGTCAAAAAATCAGCCTGATAGCTTTGATAATGATTTAAACTTTCTTTTTACTGGACTGTAATGAAAAGTAGATGCCATCAACAAGGACTGATGATTATATGAAATTTATAAATAGAGTTTAAAGCGTTTATCTCGAGTTTCATTCTCAAATAACAAGAAATGCAGCGCAATAACGATGCACAGCAAAATACCATTGGAATAGTTCAATGTGGACGTAATACGTGTTAGTTAGACCATTCCTGTAGCCACTATAAAACAAAACAGATTTTGAATAATCGATAATATTTAAAAAATCGGGAGTATTTTGCTCCCTCCCTACCCTTAAGCAGCTTTACGGTTGGAACTTGGAACTTGTCAAAACTTTTATTAAGCTATAGCTTTAGGTACACTCTGGCTGTGTTTTGCGTAAGTTACATTGTGACTATTGTTAATCAAAAAGTCCACAGTTTTTATTGTTAAAATCAAAAGTGTATCAATAAAGTTAAGTTTTCAATATCTTATCGAAGAAACCTGATAATAAACAAAAAAAGAACATGGACAACAATAAAAAAGCGCAAATATTATCAGAGTCCTTACTGGGTCAAAAGAACGAATTGCTGTTCAAATTTCTGGTAATAGGCGATTTCGGTGTTGGTAAGGAATTTTATCGTTTAAAGTTCATACACATTTTCATTTATGATTTTAGGGAAAACATCTATTATAAAGCGATACGCTGAAGGTCAGTATATATTTGCACTAAAAATTCACTTATAGTCGGCAATTTATCAGTTAAAAGATAATTTTTATTATTATTTGCTTTAAAAAGGTTATTATACCCACTAATTATTGTTGCGAATTAATCTTAATTATAGTTTATATTCTCTTTTTTAATTTTATGAGAAATGGTTGATCCCATTTACAATAAGTTCATGTACATATTTCAAAATCGATATTTACCGCATTCCTCGAATAGTTTTATTTCAATCAATAAAAAGTAAGCCAAACAATTCATTACCATTAGGAAATGTTAAGAAATTCTTTCGCGCCTGAATTATTAATTTCATAATAACGTTCGATTATTTTTCCTGTTTGAAAAAGGGTTATAAGTAAAATGAACATTAAAAGCAACGCAAAAACGTCAAAAAATGATAATTTTTATACTGTGGAAATATTGTTGCTCTTTCAATAGTAAATTTTATAACGATCATTTGTCTGCTGAAATCTAAAGCCGCAAATGTTGGATACCTAGTAGGAATTAAGATTCCAACTGGTGGACCGTGGTTAAAATGAAAATTTAATTTAAAGTCCAGACGTTTCGGCTAAAATCTTCGCTGGATAGGAATACTGCGTCGACAACTTGGACCGAAATTGAGATATCAGTCCCAGTTGCCGACGACGGATCATCTGGATTTAAAAATAATTTCCTGAATTCGCTTTATTGTTATTTAATATTTAAGTTTTAATTACTACTATGTAGGACACTATAATTTGATATAATTTTAGGAACGTTTTCATCTGTTTATAAAATGACAATTGGAGCTGATTTTGCTATAAAGTCATTAATGGTGGATGAAAACACTTTAGTTCATTTACAGTTATGGGATATAGCCGGCAATGAGCGATTTGGCTCTTTAACTCGAGTTTATTACAAATATGCGTAAGTAGGGCAACAATTATTGAACTACACTTGCACTAAGTTTATGAAGAATAATCCCAAGAAAAGTTTTAATATCTGATTAATATTACAATATTGTTTATTAAAAATATTTAAATTGAAATCGTAAAAACTGTAATTAAAAAACAGAATAAGAAACATATGTACAATTTTATTTTAAATTATACAGGAACGTTTATTCTTTTTAATTACCATACAAAAGTAAAGGAATTTCTTTAGGGTTGCTGCAGCAATCGTTTTTGATTTATCAAGACCAGAAACGTATCACTCAGTTAAAAAAGTGAGTTCGCATTATTCACAACTCAAATGATTTTCCATTGAAAATTTAGTGGCTTTCAGATTTACGCCGAAAAGTAACATTACAGAACGAAGAGCCATTGCCTGTGGTAATTTTAGCTAATAAAGGGGATGTAAACTACTGCAATATTCCCAACGAAATTGTGGATTTTTGTAAAGAGCAAAAGATTTTAAACTGGTTTATAACATCGGCAAAAGAAAACACCAATATTGGTGAGTAACTTTTGTGTGTGATGACAACATTTTGAGAACTCCAAACCATTCACGAAACAACCAAGGAACCAAGTTTCCAAGTTTTGGAATGAGCATATTAGAAAAGATTTACAATATTATCATATCAAAGTCCAAAAGTACGTTATGGCCTAATGCCAAATTCGTGTTCAGGTTTGATCCTTAATTTAAGGACAAAAAAAAAAGAAAAATAGAACGAAATGTGCAATCGACAGATAGTGAAATTTAACTACCGTTTGAACTGATGTAATATAGTTCCAAAAGTGGCCGATATTGCCCCAGTGGGCAGTAGAGGCTTCCATGGGGGCTATAGCGTATTCAGGGGCAAATGAAGGAGGGGCATGGGGTAGATATGGATATCAAAAAACGCTTCATGCAACATTTTACGTAAATTTACTGATGAACTGATAATTACCATAACCTCATAAATAATAAATAAGTAGGTAGCCACCTACGTTTATATTTTGCATACATACGAGGCCTCTAACTACAAAGTCCAAACTGCCTATTATATGAACGTATTTTGACCTTCTTTATAATTTCATGGAAAAGGCCCACCAAGACCAAAGGTCTGGGGAGCGCCGCCCCCTCCCTTAGCGTACCACAGGTGCAGATCATAATAAACATTCATCCATACTTCTTGACAGGGCCATGTTTAGAGGGAGGGCTGAAGGGGGTGCCCATCCTTATGCGCTTAAGTCAAGGAGCGCAAGAGACTTACAATATTGAAATATTACGTTACTACATTGAAATTGTAGTAGGAGGAGAGAGCCAAGATTGAGCTTTGCTCCTTCCGAATTTTTATCCAGACATAGCCCTGCTTTAAGCGCATATGAAAAATGATCTATTATAGACAAGAGACTTTAAATGTCCCAATTTCGTAAATCACATAGAGTACACATTATTTTATACTACAATATCTCTTTATTACCCTACATGTTTCGGACGTGTTAACTATTATCGATTGATTAGCTACCCTTTTATCTATTTGTATCTGTTAATTGAATGGTATATATAAAAAAGGCCATCATTTTATCATGAGGTAGACAGACAGTACATGTTAGCACATGTATATATATATATACATGTATATCAATTTTGTATCGTTTTTAGAAGCAGCCTTTGAATGTTTACTACAAGCAGCCCTTCACAACCATATTGGTGATAAGTCTAACACTAATGACATAATATCACTCAAAAAGGAATCAAAGAAAACTTCAGAAATATGTTGTGTGTAAATCAAAATATACAACTACTGTTATTGGTATTATTTGTAAAAGACTTTATTCGTTTTTTGTAACAACTTATTTAGTAAAAACATCATTCTATATATATGTACATATTACATACTAACATTGATGACTACATCTATAATGTCTAACTTCCCTGCTTCATTTTCTGGGCAGCTGCCATTGCATTTTCATTGGCTAAAACTTGAAATTCGTGAACTCTCTCCGAAATTCGTTGATTAACTTTGAGGAATTTTTCTAAACAGTTGAGAGCACACTTTTCCTACAAGCAAAACTAGAAAAGTTCAGTTATCTGACATCATGATACCCTAAAAAATAAATTATACATATTGCTTACCTCTTTGTCTTTGATATTTCTACTTGTAAAATTATCTATACAATCATTAAAACACATTTCGGTCAATTTGTTATAAGAGACGAGGAAGTCTTTAAACTAAAAGTGAAATACAAATTAGGATACAGTACTTTATAGATATTCCAAAATTAACCGTTTTTATTTGTTCTGGCTCTAGATTCTCAATTCCAGCGACTGGAGGGATGGATACGCTCATTTTTTTAAATAATTTATAGTTTTTCTATCCGTCAACTTTTGAGGTTAATAATTCACCATGATGCGGGAAAACACGACACCACAAGAAAATTTTAATTACCATTCAATACATAACGCTTGCGCAAAGCAAAAAGGCTACAGATTTCTTCAAAGGGTAACGAGTGATAAACGATGAAACTAAATTTTTGAAATGTAAGGCGTGTTTAAATTGATATACGTACGTATGTCAAAGGTCTAACGAATCTAGTATATAATTAAATTGTTATATGAAAGCAAACAAAAGATACTTTCTGTTAAATTCAACCTTCTACTGACAGATGTCACAAGTATGCAGTACCCTCATTAAAAAGATGGCTTTACGTCAAAATTTTTGTTTGGTAGAAGCGTGGTAGAAGGTTTACTGCAAATGGATTGTTACAAGCGTAGTGTGCAAAGTATTTGTTGTTATTTAGAAAATTAGGAAGCATGTTGGTGTATCGTTTAAGTTGAGAAATAGTTTAAAATGTTTTAAGGGACATTACCATCTCATTTATGTTTTATAATGTAATCTGCGATTGTTAGAATGGAACCACAAAAATATTTAAATACAAACACTGTAGCTAAGGATAAGCGAACATTATGCTATTGTTCTAAACCTATTTCGCGGTTAGAAAATAGAAATGCATTTCAAAAAAGCGAAAAAAGAACTACAAATTTTTGCGAATTAAATAAACCCTTAAAAAGTATTTGTTACAATCCTAACGAAAGCCTTGAAACCTCTGATTCATGCAGAAATATTTCTTCACAAAAACAGAATAGTAACGTAAATCAGGCCAATCGAAAGATCCCAAGTATTTCTCAAGCATCTTGTAAATGCGGTCCGTTACCTGACTATGTTGGACAAAAAAGTAATTTCAATCAAAATCCAATCAAAAAACCTGCGGATCTGAATCATCCCCCTATATGCACAAATCGTAACTCAACTTCGAAAAATGCAAATATTCAATCGAAATCGAAAAAATGTCAACAAAAGGTTGATTATTGTCCTACATTGGCATTTCATCAAAGCTGCACTCCTAAAGTAACGGAACAGGAAGAGGACATCTCCAAAGAAACCGAATTGTATTTAGCTAGACTTAAAGACGAAATACAACAAAATCTAGCAAAAACAAAAAATACATCAGATAAAACGTTTAATGAACTGAAAACTGAAATAGATAATTTTCGCTGTCCAGAAACTAAACAAGAAAGCGTACAGAAATACAAAAGTACCGAAGAGTGTCGACACGATAACTCTCTAGAACTAGTGGAACTGGAACGTCAGGAATGTGTAACTTTAAATAAAAATGAAAATGAAATGCTACAGAACGATCCATATCTTGCAGCAATAATGGAGGAAATAAAGTATTTTAAACAATCTTTGATAAAGAAAATAGACGATGAAAAGAATCAATGCATAGAATACAAAACTTCCGAAAAAAGTAGTTGCAGTGTTTGGGAGATAGAATCTTTTAATTGGCAACAACAGAATTCACCTTGTAATGAAATTATAAAAAGTGTGGAAGAACCGTATTGTTTTTCATATCAAGAAAATCACATTTTGGAAGAGATCAGATTGTGTAAAGAATACGACAATGAATTACCAGGTTTGTAAATAGCTCATAGGCAATTCTACTTCGCAGAGATCGCTAGTTTTGTTTTTGTGTTTTAGAGTGTCCGCAAGAAGTTCCTGTTTCCCAAGATGAGGGGTAAGTCGTTTTTAAATCAACTTTTTCACTTTCTGAGTAGATATGCGCATAATAATTACTCGTTCAATTCGCGACAAAACTCATGCGTGAATCTGTTCTCCAGTGCAGTGAATTAATTGTGTTACTGATTAAGGTAAGTAATACTCAAAAATTGTTCGTTTTTACCATATATGTATACATCACATGCCACGGAGAGTTGGTTGAATCATTATTTATGTCAGCAAAAATAATTGAAAATAAGATTAACAATATGGTTTAACTAGTGAAAAACATAATGAATGTTCTTTATTGACAATTCTAAATTTAGAAATTAACATTTATACGTACCTAAGTACATGTATGTATTTATATAAAATATTTAACATTGAACTATTCAGCATAATTATAATACCAAGATATACATCTGCGACTTGTATCTAATGCTTTCAATAAATAAATTCGAGATTAGGGTTTGTCGCAGCTGTAGCTGGAGCTAGCTTGGCCCACCTTTAAAACGCTTTCGACAAATTAATATGAGAAACTCATTGGCGTAACTTGAATTAGGAAATTCCTTTATGGAATCTTTTTAAATATGATTCTATTCACATTTTTTTATTTTCTAACCATATATGTAAGCGGCCTTAAGTAACATATACTCTCGAAGAGCATTCTGAACAGAATATCAAATAGATATCTTAAACTACGTAAATCAAGAACGTAGCATCACAGGGGCGTGGACAATATTGAGATATAAAGTATCGTCAGGAAGATGGTTAAGCGTTGCTTTAAGACATCCTAATCTCTTAATCATCATATACACAACAAATAAAACAAACGATCACTTACTTAAAAAAAAGCCAACACGATCACAGCGATGATCCCCAGCTATATCACTGCCAATATCACCTTACGGCACCTTCATCAAATATAGAAAAACAGGTGTGAGCACTCAAGCATACCTTTCCTTAGCATTTATCGTGCATCTTACTGTACAAGGCCATGTTGCAATATAATCAACTAAAGATAAATACATTGACCGCAGCCAAATTACTGTAATCAACTACTTGACACTTATTGATGCTGTATCAACCTGATCTTGGGAAAGGGCAAACACCCTCTTCCCGCACTACCTCTGCAAGACAGACTTTTCTGTCCAAAACTGGACTGAGGTCATTAATGGGTTAGATAACTGTACAACCGCAGCCCACAGTCCCCATTGCACCGCAGCGCTTTCAAACCTCAGCCCCCAAATAACGACTGTGTCACCGCAGCTTAACAGTCTAGGTAGCGTCCCTAATTATCTCATGAGTTACTTTCAATATCAACATAAATCATCAACAGCATCTTCATTTAAAACAATCAGTAAAATAATTACTAAGCATGCTTGAAGTACTCAGTGAATAACTCACCCTGATTTGCAGGTAACACAGGTAACAATCACTAATATTATAACGTCCTTAAAATATGCACAACTATTGGAGAACACAGAGTAGCACAAGTGCACTTCAATACGTTTCACGCATATGTAACATTAATAGGTCCTGTTTGTTTCTTCATCTCGAAGAGGGTCGATCCCCCTTGACCGATCACCCCGCATAAAGTATAAACACATGGGCAAATTAGGTAAAATCTATCCCAACTAAGTCCGTAAAATTAACGTAGAAATATACATACCGACCACTATATACACATATGTTCGTTTAGTTTTCGAACGACTATTTATTTACACACATATAGAAATAATAAAACCCTTACATATACTGTTGAAAAATAAACAGATTAATTGACTTACGGAAAATTAGTCCAAATTATACGAGTACCGCAGTTCGAAAAATTACAATAGAAACCAACATCATCATAAGGTCGTCAGTCCTAAGACTGGTTGGACACGCACCTCCACTTTTTCCTATCCTGAGCTAATCTTCGCAATTCCCTAAAACTAAAACAACCCATATCCTTAACTATTTGCGACTAGATCTTTATGCCTGAGAAGGTGTGCTAGGTATCCTACCAATCTATCTCGCCTATTTCTTATTGACTTCAGTAGAGTCCTTTGTTCTCCTATTCTTTCTAATACCTCTTCATTTCTAACCTTCTCTATCCATTGTATCGTCATCATTCTCCAGTAACATCACATTTCGAACGCTTCTAACCTTTTCTTTTACGCCGCGCCCACTGTCCATGTTTCGCACCCGTACAGCGCCGTGCTCGAAAAATATTGCTACTACATGGTGTCTAATATTATTCTAGAACAGCAATACGATGTAAAATACTGTAAACAGGTATTCTTAAGATTTACATTAGCCTCTTATAAACGATGAGATTTTTAAATCCAATAATTTCAAGTTTTGATACGTCAGTATTCTTTTTTTTCTCATGTTACAATCTCTGTTTAATGCTCCTACACTGGTTTTGAAGGCATTATTAAAGTTCCAATGAACTCGTTCGATCTATTGTGCAAACCTTAGCTGAAACTTCTTACAAATGCAGACGTACTAACGCAGCATGCATACTATGAATGGTAGACTCCCTTACGCGTTGTTTGGAATTGTAAAGATTTATTCACAATAAGATCATTGTGAATATAGGCCCGTTCTTTGTTATTACACGTGGCTAAGACGTAAACGGAATTTTAGCCCCTCTCATAAAAGGAAGAGAGGACCGTTTCTTATTGATATCTGAATAAACTGCGCAATTTCATTAAAAGATATGGACCGTTTTAAAAATCTGCTTTCTTGTTTATTAAGCATGAAGTTTATTGTTTATTAAGTATTCATTATAAATTATAAGTATTAACATAAATAAAAGGGATTTTGAGATAATAAAACGATTTTAAGTGCCAAAGTGGAATAACACCAAAAACGATTAGGCAAGCATTGTTCTAATTGCACACAGTGTACTTTTACCAATTGATAATCTTAATCACAATAGAAACTAATAACATTGATGGTTTGGAACGAATATTTATTTTTATCTCACATTTTTCGTTCTTGTTCGCGTATTTACGAAGTTACTGTTTTGATTATTGTTTTTGTAGTGATAACTATTATCTATAGATGCTGCAATGCTGCCGAGACGAGATAATCAATCAAGGCGCAATGGTATTTTCCATGTTTTTTTCCCTTTGAAGAACCTCCTCATAATTTATTACATCATCATATCATTCGTCTGTATTGCTTAATACTGGCACTAATAACCTTTTAATGATTTAATAGTTAATTCCGAGACCAATTTAACGATATAACAAACAAAACAAGTCCTTGTAGGTCACAAACAGAAAATAAGGAAGCTCGTCTCTCGTCAAGGGGTCTCTATGTCACTATCTCATCGACCTTCCAAAAAATAGTTTTATCGAAATTATAGACAGTTTAATAATAACGTTGTTTACTACCTCGTTCAATTAGAATTTTAGCGTTCGCTTTCATTTCCTTCACATAATATACAACGTACTTCTAGTTTAGTTTATTAGCTGAAACACATCAATTGGGTATTTTGGTATTCTGAAACACGTTAACTGGTTTGATTTATAGGCTTTAATGGTAACCTTTATTTATATTTTTATTAATTCCGTGATTAATTCAGTTGTGTCCGATATTGAGAGAAAAAGTTGTGCAACTATTTGAAAAATATGATAAACGTTAACAAAACTTCACAATTTTATCGATCTTAGTTGCTGGTATAAGCGTCTTTTTTATGGAAATTAATGGTAAATCGTAGTGATATGGCAAATGTAAGGGTCCTGTAATTGTTTATGAAACAGCAGCAGTTGAAACAAAATTGACGTGAAATACTACAGGATGGAAAAAGATCCTTTCATAACAAATGCCAAAATACGTGTTTATCCGTAATTTGTTATTTAATACATACAAAGCTAAATTATGGTAGAGGAAGCTATGGGGCATCCATGGCGGCGCCTGGTATTACAGGTTTAGAGTTGAGGTGTCTCGGGGTTACGACACCGGGTGTTTGCCCGCCCGATTGTTATTGTGTAGTAAAAGTGAAAATCCGTGTCTGTACCGCGATGTGTACAAAATTAAATGGATTTCGAAATGTGACCTTCCGAGTCAACGAGATGTAGAAATACAAGGAAGCTTTTTAACGAATTACGTGAACGGTACGTTAGTAGGGGGATAACGTCAGACAAGGCTGTCCTTTCTGTTCCGTTGACCCTGTTTGTACAGCGTAACAACAGCATGTTACACACAATCAAGTGATCCACGTTCATAAGTTGAAATTTCTTTCGATTTTGAAATATCTATTGTGTACATACATGCCTAGTCAGTAGACCACGTTGACCTTCCATTAGTCAGTTCTATGTAACCAATTTGTAGGTGGGAAGATAGGTACTACAGACTGTGTTCGAGACTAAGTTATTCTGGATTCAATCGTCTTAAGATTATGACTTGTTTTCCTTGTGCGACTATTTGCTATTGTTAGTTTAAAATCACATGAACCTTTACATGCTCGAAACGAGGACCCATGAGTACTAGACCACCATGATGTCAATTGTAAAAAAAGCGTCAGCAATGAAGCCGGGTCTAGTGGTGATGCCACATGAGTAGTTCCACAAATGACGGATGAAATACACATTTACGATGACATATTAATTAATGATTAATTAGCAGTATTCTTGACGGAAATAAACGTCATCCATAAGGCCCGCCCTTATTGTGGACGTAAAAGGCACTTTAGTACACCTTGTATTTATATTGCAGCGTATTTTTATTGGGCAACCCAAAGATAAGGTTCATGAGATGTTTTTTTGGTTTTTATATTCATGAACAACAAAGTATGGAAAATCTGTTTCTAACTTTGGCCCACATAAAACACAAAAGACTTTTCTATTTATTATTCTAGAATGGACCTACCTAGATATAACGAATAAAAAATACCCGTACAATACGTAAATAGGTATTGCCCTATCTACGTGAGATGGAATCACCTTTACCTTTGTAAATATGTAGGTAAATGACGACGTTGCAATTATTATGTCATGTCACCCTCCCTATGTTCGTATAAGC